GAGGGGCGGCTGCGGGGTTGAGGGTAGCAGAAGGGAAATTTGGAGCCGAAACGCGAATCGCGGGGATATACCCGCGATCCGCGTGTAACATAAATAAAAAAAGCTGTTCTCAAAAACGCAGGGGAGACGTGATTTCCAAACGCTACGGCGGCGGTTTCAAAAACGCCGCCGCACATTTAAGCTGTCCCAAACGGGGCCTAAGTGGGGTCGGCTACATGAAGCCTTTTTCTTCATTGCATCCTATTTAGAGTCATATTTTCATTTAATTCTAATAAATTAAGATCATTTTATATACAATATGCCCAAGTCTTCCTAGGTCTACCTCTGTCTTTCTTAATCTAAGTCGAATCTAAAACATCTACTCTTCTAATTGGATCATCAGATGATCGACGTTTAATTTGACCAAACCATCTAAGACGACTCTTTCAAATTTTGTCCGTCACTGAAGCTACACCAACCCTCTCACGGATATATTCATTTCACATTTTGTCTCTAAGTGTAAAGCTACTCATCCACCTAATCATTCTCATCTCGGCAACACTTAACTTAGTTTTATGCTTATCTTTTAAAGGCGAACATTCATCACCAAAGAGCATGGCAGGTCTCACCACCGTCTTATAAAATTTTCCTTTCAGTCTAAGTGATACCTTTCTATCACACAATAGGCCCAAAGCATTCATCCACTTAAACCAACCAACTTGAATTCTACTAATAACATCCCCATCAATATCACCATCACTTTGAACAATAGACCTGAAATTTCTAAAGCTTTCACACTTTTTAATAATTTGATCACCCATAGTTCCATTTCTGTCACTAGAGCCACTAATACTAAAATTACATTCCTTGTATTCAGGTTTAGTTCTACACAAACGAAGGCCTTTAGACTCCAAGGTAGACCTCCATAATGCAAGTTTTTCTTGAGCTTTTTCTCTCGTCTTATCCACGAGAAGGATATCATCAGCAAAAAGTGTACACTAAGATGCATCCTCCTATAAGTGTTCAGTAAGACCATTCATAACTAAAGAAAAAAGATATGTGCTTAAAGCCGATCCTTGATGTAAACCAACAAAAATATGAAAAACTTTGGTCAATCCTCCTTCTATTCGATCACAAGTAACAACTCTTGTATACATATCTTTATTGGCTTGAATATAAGTCATATCAACATCTTTCATCTCAAGAACTCTCCAAAGGATATCTCTTGGAACCTTATCGTAAGCATTTTCTAAATCAATAAAAATCATATGTAGATCCTCATTATCTCTGAACTTCTCCATCAAACCTCTCAATAAATGTATAGCTTCCATAATAGACTTGCCCGACATAAATCCAAATTGATTATGAGAAATCTTTTGTAATACGTCTTAACCTATGCTCAATTACCCTCTCAAATAATTTTAAAGTATGACACATCAACGTAATTCCTCTATAATTTGCACACTCCTGTGCATCCCTTTTATTCTTAAAATTGGGGACCAAAATGCTCTTCATCCACTCCTCAGGCATCTTTTTAGTTTTTAAAATAATACTAAAGACCTTAGTAAGCCAAGAAACTTCTAATCTCCTATAAAACACTCAAATCTCCTAAATATTTCCACATTTCAATTGGGATATCATCAGGTCCTACACACTTTTCACCCTTTATTTTCTTTAAAGCCTCCTCAACTTCTTTTTTATTAATGCGACGGTAAAAATTGAATACTTTATTATTATTAATGATATTAAGATCACTAAGGTCGATTGTATTTTTCGAAACTTCATTAAAATTTTTATCAAAATAACTCACCCACCTATACTGAATATCTTTTTCTAAGAAAATAATTTTTAATTTTCATCTTTAATACACTTTACTTGAGTTAAATATTTACTTTTCTTTTCTCTTTGTTTAGCTAGTTTATACATATATTTTTCAATTTCATTGATAACTAATCTATTATAAATATCACTAAAAATAGAATTTTTAGCATCACATATTGTTCACTTAGACTCCGTATTGGCCGTTTGATATTTTTCTCAGTTCTCTAAGGTTTTACATTTAAACTAATTTTTATAACATAACTTCTTATATTTTATCTTTTCTTGCACATTATTATTTTACCACCAACTATTTTTATTTATAGAATTTTTTTTTATATTCTCCAAGTACAACTTTTGCAACTTGTTTAATAGTGTTTGTTACTTTATTCCACATAGAATTTGCTTCTTCATGAACATCCCAAATTTTAAAATCTTGAATTTTACTATAAAAATAATTTTATTTGATAAAAATAATTTTATTTGTGTCAATTTTATTTGTGTCTTTTAAGTACCTTCATCTAATTCTGCGACGATGATTCATAGTAATCTTTATTTTACAACTCTTCATCTTAAAATCTTGAACTAATAATCGATGTTGAGTGCTTAAATCCTCACTTGGAATGTTCTTATAATCTTTACATTCTCGACGATCTCTTCTTCTCATAAGAAAATAATCAATTTGTGTTTTATTAGATACATTCTTATGAGTAATAATATGCTCGTTTCTTATTAGCAATAACAAAATCATACTCTAAAGTAAAATTTAATATAGCTCTATCATCATCATTAATAACTCCAAAATCATAGCCATCATGAATATTTCTAAAATTTTTTACCACTCCACCAACATATCCATTTAAATCTCCTCCAATAAAAATTCTGTCTTCAACAGGTATCATTTGTATTAAGTCTTCTAAGTCATTCTAAAAGAATTTATCTTTAGAACCTATATCTAAATAAGCACTTAAAATATTAAAAATCTTAGTATAAACAATAATCTTAAGGGCTATAATTTTATCTTCAACTCTATTAATTTTTACAACATTATCTTTCAAACTCTTATTTATAATTGCACCTACACCATTTCTAGTTCGACTCTTACCTGAATACCAAAGTTTAAAACCTAAGTTATCAATCTCTTTAGCGTTTTCTCCAACCCATTTAGTTTCTTGAACACATAAGATATTTATCTTTCTATGGATCATTATATGAACTAATTCCATTAATTTACCAGTGAGAGTGTATATATTCCAAGATCCTATCCTAATATTAGTTTCATGGATAACTTCTTTACCCGCATACATCCGTAATGTGGGAACCCTTGCTTTCTTAACACTACACCCGGGCCCCGGTGTAGCGACCCTTGTACACTTTTCACTATATTCAGACCATAAAATGTGCCACTTCTTGGGGGCTCCCTAACACTTACACAATGATTAAAAGGATTCATGTCATGATTTTTTCGATAAGTTTTACGTTGGTTGTCGACTACCTAACAGAACTCTCCATTTTTCACATCCGGGCTTTGGACCGGCAATGGCAGTGAAAAATTCAATTCAACAACATAGAAAAAATGTTATGATATGTTTTTTGTATTCGTGTAGGTGCTTCTAGGTTACCTGCTTTATTACTTCAACAATATACTTGATATGCATAAATTTTTTTGTTTTTTTATTATTAATATATCAGTATGCACCATTCTTGCAAATCTCATTTAAAATTCAAATTAACAAGACATAGAATGCCTCAATCAACTAATTGTAGGCTTGTTTTGGAATTTTTGCAAGTCAAATACGGACTCAAACAGCCTCAACCGATCAAATTACATTCTCCAACTCTCTTCTGGCATAAAGATTGAAACTCCAAAAGATTGATATGATAGACCTTGCATTACTAACAATGATGATATCTCAATTTTTGAAGCGAACATGTATAATTTTTTCTTTAATTTTCTTTCCTGTGTTGGTTTTCAGATTATGTGATGGAGACACACAATTTAAACTTGATGAGGGATTGTAAAGCTCAATTATTATCTTAATGAAGAGCAAAAGCTCAAAATAGTCTTCTGACCATTTGCAAATGACCAATTTAGTCCTGGAGTTTTAAAGTGCGTCACTTTAGCCCCTGAATATTAAAAATTAATTCAAATTTGTCCCTATGTTGAATTTCATGGTTAAAGTTAACACCAACCATTAACTTTGAGGGTATTTTAGGAATAAGAAATTTAAATGAAATTCTCTTTTATTTATTACTCTATTCTCATATTTAATAAAGTATTCTCTATTACTCTATTTATTTAAGTATTTTCCATTATTTCTTTCTTGTTAGCCAAAGCTAGCTGCCTGGATATGCAAACTGTTCTTTCTGAACCATTCACTTCATTGCAGATTTCCATGTAGATGATTCAGAAGTTACTTTAAATGTTTGCTTGGGCAAGCAATTTTCTGGTGGAGAATTATTTTTTCGAGGTGTCAGATGTGACCAGCATGTCAACTCAGAAACCCAACCTGAGGTTTACTGATTACACGATTTATTGTTCTATTTTTCACCTTCGTAACGTAATATATTCAATAATTGGATTTTCCTGATCATTATACCAACACAATTGCTAAAGGACAACTCATTTGGAAACAAGCATAATTGAAGAAATCATTTTTTCTTATGGAAATTATCTATACATATCTTATGTAAATCATCTATACAAGGGTATTTGTAGTCACCACCTCTGCAGAAGCCACATTTCTCTTTTCTTCCACAAAAGTCACTTTGAACTTCAATTTATAGAATTCTAACTTTGGTTTATTTTAGCTGTTAATATCATTTGTTGTTTTGGGATATTTGTCAAATTACAATGTAACCCTTTATGATTTTGAATCCAACCCTCTTATCTTTCAGCTTTTGTTAATATCTACTGTGATTTTTTTTTTTTTTTTGATAAAATTCAAGTTTTACAGGATGGGTCATGAGTTAATTGATTCAGTCAGGGCTTTGATGGGACTGATGTTGATTGGACCTTACTTTTTGGTTTGTGGAACTGCATAGGTGGTGCCATGACCGGACTTGGGATTTGGTTACCTATCTGACTGATTTTAGTGACTGGAAAAGAATTAGGCATTTGTCCATGAACCTGCTTGACTTGAGCAATCATGTCAATTCCGTTTGCATTTGGATGATTCAACCCGATTGTTGATTTAGTATGTATGGCTTGTACAAAATACGTTATTCTTCACAAGCTGGATGGGTCACTAGAAAGTCTATATAATTTAGGATGCCAGACTATAAAATGGGTGGGCTAGGCAAAATCTATCTGATCATTCATGTAGATTGGGTCAATATCAACCTTCTTTGCATAACTTTCTTATGCCAAGTTTTAGCGATGTTTTGGTGAGCAATGAATACGAATTTTCAATTAAAGGACATACTTTCCTATCGAAGATAGGAATAGCAAATACTTTGTTGCATAAGAATTTTGATCATTTAAGATAAATCAAGAATTGAGGTGTTTTACTTTGGGCGTAAGCATTGAGGGGATTGAGGCATATGCCTCGAATAAACATAATTAAAAAGTGCTATAATTAAATAAATTCATAAATATGTCATAAACAATGAATAGATTAATTTAGTTGTCATTATAAATCAGAAAATCATGCAATAAGAAAAAAAAGAAAGAAAATCTTATTAATAAATCTTAATATAAAATGAAATTGTGAAGAAAGATTCAAGGTAAGCACTCTTTTAAAATTTAAATATGACACTAGAACTATTTTCCCCATTGCAGCTGCATGCAGTAGTATATCTCCTAACTTGTTGTCAACCTCTCGGATACAGTTTCCATCCTCAACTCCTTTTTGAGCTTCCTGACACTTGCAAACTCTTTGCTCACCAGTTGTTGAGTTGCAACACCTGAAGCCTCTCTCTCTCTCTCTCTCTCACAACTCTTACAGTTCTAACTGAAGATTTTAAACTGATATGCAAGTTGTAATTGGTATATCATATTATATATATTTTTTACTAGGTATTAAGTTGAGATGTTGCCTCAAACATAAAAAGTGCAAGCCTCACTCATACCATAAAAGCCTTGGTCTCTGACTCAACTTCTAGACACCTCATTGTGGGGAACACCTCGAGGCATGAACGAAATTTTAAATCATGGTCCTATTTCTTGGAATGCTGAAAAACTTGTTCCTTCCTAAAAATTTGAAACCAAATTGTGCTTTTCTGAAAGTTGAAAATTGTAGTGTGAGGTTTACATATTTGGGGAGACTGTTATTAACAAGTAATAAATTTGATTATGCATATTGTTGTTCACATTAGAAACTATAATCAATACAACATATGGGATTGCTTCTAAATAATAGTAAAAGAAACACTGCTGGAAAACTAAATTATTAAAGTTACTTTACAACTCCTATATTATGCTACTCTTGTATGATTCTCCAATCACAGATACATCATCATCTTAAAATAATAATAAAGGGATAATCAAACAACAACTCAGTAAAAATTATCTTACCCATAATTACTGAGGAGGTCAAGAGCAAGTTCACAATTATGTTTCTTAACACCTATCACAATCGCTGATTAGTGTACCTAAACGATAAAAGAATATTCAATAGTATCAAACCATAATGATACATACCCCTACGAACAAAACACTCAACAAATTGGATGCAATTCCAAATTTAAGTCATCTACCTATCAAGAGTATGGATAGATGTCAAGTCGTGCTCTGTGTAACTATATATTTCAATACAATGATATATTTTTAGCAATATACTCTGTGCATAGTTTTTCCTTGGTTTTGGGAGGCCTTCTTCAAACTCTAGCAACTACTAAAATGGTCTTGAAATGCATCTGATTAGTGTACCTCCTTCATTTAGAATTTTGGTTTTTCTACACCAGGGCAATTTGTAGCACACACTTCAAACAATTATTAGCTTAGTTCTCTCCAAAATAGTACAGGAATAAATAAATAAATCTTATAATTGTTTTATTAACTGTCAAAATCAGGATTTTACCATTGGCATGTGCCATTTTTTATAACGTAGAATAAATAAAATGCCTCTACTAGTTTAAGTTGTGTGTAAACTAGATGAGTTTTTAGGTGTTTTTCTGATGTTTGTGCCATAGAAGGAAATTTCATTGGCTTCATTTGTTATTTATCACAAATCCTGAATTTAGAATCCACTTTTAGATCGAAACATCTCATGGAATGAAGTCTATATAAAATTATTATCTCAAATATTATTATCGTCACATTTGGCAGGTGTTTAGGCGAAAAATACAATTCAAAATATCTAACACTATGGTTCCTTTTTAGTTTTGGTCCAACTTGAGGTATTCTCTTCTCCCTTGTTCAACATTTATTATTATTATTATTATTGAAAACTATTTCTTATTTTCTAGCTTTGCAACCAAGTTAAAGTCGATGTTTTGTCATATGCTTGAAAAGTACAGTTGATTCAGTTTTTTCTATTGTTTCTAATGTGTAAAACTTAGCTAAAAATTACAGGATAAATTTTACCGTAAGACTTGCCGATTGCAAGATATGACTCAACAAACCACATTTAGTTGTTGGGGCATTGACATACATAACACCTAATTCTTCTGTATTTACATATCTAACACCAAAACTTTACATTTTATATTTATAGCAACCTGACCACAATTTTAACTTTTAAAAAGTGAAATACACCTTTTCATTCATGGAAAGGTGGAATATATGTAGGAAAGTGCAAATTCGCATAAGGAAGAAGTTTATTTTATTCTCTCAGAATATATTCCACTAATGATATTTCCTTTTATTTATATTTTCTATTATTTTCTTCTTTGTTTAGAGGGATTACAATTTAGTTTCCTTCATTATTATTATATGTAGTGAAGTATAATGCATTAGGTGTCGAGAATAAATTCTTGTTGAATTCTATATGGTATTAAAGCTACAACTCAGTCTCATTCGTACACACACATAGCAGAAGCCTTAATTCGAACAATGGCTCCGTCTCTCGCGTAAGCACGAGCAGCTTCCATCATGCGGGGCAGATTGTCTACCTTGATCACGCTATGCAGATTGTCTACCTCGATCACGCTATCAAAGGCATTTTAGTCATGGTCCATTTCTTTTTCTTGAGATTGTTGTGTCGTCTTCTCACAGACACGTTATTCAGATGTTCAATTCGAACAAAACACCCCTTTATATTCGTCTATTCCACTCGGCGCTTTGAACAACTCGAGCTTATCTCAGAACTCTTCCCTCTTCACTTCACTACGGTTTGCTAAGGCAACATGATCGATTCGGCTTGCCCTAGTTGTTCCCTCACGATCGCCGCTTACAAACGACTAGAATATCTCTTGCCTTTTGTTGAACTCGTGGTAATTGAGAGTTGTGTATCTCTATGTAGTTCCTATTTGCCTGTCTATCCAAGCAGTCAAACTAAGGGTCTTCTCGCTTTTGTCTGAAAAACAAGTCTTCTTCAATCGGGCTTCACAATCTTATCATGGCCAAACATGGCATGACCTCACAATCTTCTTCAGAAGTAACTTCCAGATTTGAGCCGACGTCTTCAATCTCTATCATACCTGAAAATTTCTATTAAATAGTCACAAATCATAATCTGCATGACCATAGTTTTCTTCAATGATCCCAATCTGTTTTTCATGTATATTTGTGGCAGAGAAAAAGACAGACACCTTACAGGAGAAATTCTAGCTCCAAAAATGACTAATTCTAAATATCAGGCCTGAAAAATTGAAGATCGTATGGTTATGCCATGGTTAATAAATTTCATGACCACAAAAATTGAATAAAGTTTACTACTCTATTAAACAACCAAAGAGATATGAGAGGTTGTACGTAAAACCTTCTCTAACACTAAAATCTCCTCATGAGTTTTTTGAGATTAAAACCAAATTACATGATCTATGACAAATAAACTTGAGTGTTACTCAATATTTCAACACTCTCATGCGTTGTTAGCTCTTAGAAATGCCCCAATGAATATGCCTTATAAAAAACTTGCATGAAGGCAAAGGGGAGAATCATGGTAATCAAACCCATGCATCCCTACCACTTGGGAGGCATTTTGCATAAGGGAGGAGAGCAAAAATAAGCCGATGATGATAGAAAATCACACAATACTATCGGTTGAAGGACCAACATTATACACTCAAAATTCCTCTCATAATAACAAGCCTAAGAAATGACGAGCTTGGTGCGATCATTATAAGCAACATGGTCATGTGATGGTAAAATTTTAGAAATTACACAATAAACATGCAAATTAGAAGTCATCTAATTGAAGATATGATAGGAAGAATCAAACAAATGCTGATGTCATAATTAACAACAATTCAAAATTCAATCTGTTCATCAAAGAGTAAATTGAGGTATCGCAAAAAAATGTTTAGTAATAGTTCCAGTTCTGGACAAGCATCATAATCCTCTGTCGAGCAACCTATCAGCTTGTTAGCTCACCATGGTATCTTATCTCATGCTTTTAGTATCCAAACAAT